CAGCAGAGCAGAATGAAAGGTCTTAGAGCAAGGAACCAGTGGTGGAGACATCAGCTCTAAGGCAAGCCTGTGAGCTGAAAATTTCTGGGGGAGAGAAGGACGTTGACTTTTTAAGGAGTTTTAAATTTTCAGGCTCTCTGAGCCTCAAAGCAGAATTTTTGTGTGGTTGAGAGCTGCAAGTCTATTCCTTGGAAAGCGCAGGGGAATAAAAGCTGAAGGTATGGCTCGCAAGTGGGCTGTGGCGATGACTCCTCGAGGATCCCAGCATCCCGAGGACAGGACTGGGTGCTCCAGGGTGCTGGGGCTCTGAAGGTAAAGTCCTGCTGTATACCATAGACCAAGACCACCATGGCTTGCTCTCTCTTCCAGCAGGAGCTTTGGATTAACCTGCAGCCCCTTGCACCGGTTCAGCCTGATACAGGTGAAATGATCCAGCGCTGCGTAGTTCAGACCCGTATTGTTCAAGCGCTACGACCTGTTCTGGGCGACCGTAGAATGACTGACCGCCCTGAAAGCGCAGCGGCCAGGCTGAGGCGAACCCAAATAGAAGATGTATCAGGACGAACAGTGTCAGCAGTGGCAGGCAGTGGTGAGACCTCATCTGGGTTGGTTGTCCTGTAGAAGCATGGTCGCCTGCATTCGGGAGGGATGTGCTCAGGCTCAAGGAGGGGCAGAGAAGAACAGCCAGGACTTTTTTCCCCCCAGAGAGGAAACTAGGAAAGCTTTGGTTGCTTGATTAATATTGAGGTTTTAAGAATAGCTGGTTTTTGTGAATTCATTCAAGTGGAAGGAGAAGCGATAAACATCAGGGGAGAAGGGAAGGAATATACCTTCAGTCCTAAAAAATTATGATGTGAAAATAACTTAGGAATAATCCAGTGTGAAAATTAGAGTTAGAACTTTTTTTTTTTAATGAGATGCAGCAGCCTTGTACCAGAATATTTACATTTTGTCTGCTTTTAGTCCCTCAGTGCTTTCAGTAGCCATCATTAAGACTATTACTATGCGTGGCAAGTCAGTAAGCTGGAGCAGCGCGGACGCTGGGACTGCGGTTCACGCCTTGCTGTCCTTCGCAGTACGACGTTGCCGTCCCGTCACGAGACGCTGGCACCAAACACCCGCGCCAAAGGGCAGCTCAGGCAGCTCTGCGCGCGAGCGACAAGAAACAACCTTTTCCCTAGATTTTTATTCGCTCGCTAGCGTAGTCGGCTCCCTTAGCGCTGAACCCCTCATAGCCCGGCGCTAGCGGGACCATTTGGATTTCCTTGGGTGTTTTCTTTCCTCAGCTCGGTGAGGCCGGGAAGGGCGCTGCCTCGCTGCCGGGCTCCGGAGCTTGCTGGACGTGGGGAGGGCGGCCAAGGGGAGGTTTGGGGGGCGCAAGGTCCCAATGCAAAGTCTTCGGGCAGCTTTGGTGGGAGGGAGGGTGTCCCTGCACGCGTGGGCAGCCCCGCGCGGCGCCCGGGAGGAGCCGCCGGCCGCCCAAAGCGAGCTGCTAGGAGGAATGGCCGATGAGCTGCTGAATTTTAGGAGGAAGGCTGTGACTTTTAATCCAGTCTGCTGTTATAATTTAATAATATTCAGTGTTAATAGCGCTGGAATTAGTGCTTCTTGACTTCCACGCTGCGCGAAGTGAAGCGTAGCTGTCGCGACGCCGGATATGAGAGCGGTCTCCCTGTTTGTGTTAACGCGGAGCCGCGTGTGTCTTCTCCCCTTTGCCGAGAGGCTCCTAGTTAGTTAGCCTGAAAATAGCAGGGAGCGCCGAAAGCCACCTCTTGGACCTTGTGTTATGTTTTCAGTAGGAGGAAGAAAAAAGCTTGCAAAAGAGGTATCGTGATACGCAGTATTTTTATTCTCACTCAGTGTTAAAGTTAATGAAATTATATGATTTTAATTTTCCAGGAGAAAATAACTAAGATAACTAGAAGTACTCTAGTAAAGCAGTAATTCATAAAATCATTGCCATGTTTAAAAAATCTAGGCGTGTTAGAGAAAAGATAGGATATACTTCTTTGAAAGGATCAAGTAATTTGTTTCTGAAGAGATGTTGCTGGAATAAAAAAAATACAATGAACGTTAAAAGGAAAAAAGTCTAGAAAGAAATTTAATAGCAGTTCTGTCCAAAAGCCATCATGTCTTACATGGAACAGTCACAGTGTCAGTAAAAAAAAACTGCTGGCAGGTTTTGAATATCTGAAGTGAGATAAGTTTTCTACGAATACCTGTTTAATACCAAAGTGTCAGAGGCAAATTTAGTATTCACTGTACTTGCAATGAGGAGTGTTCAAATGTATTACTGCGTCATATCTTGTCTGTATCGTGAACAAATCTATACAATTCAATAGTCTTTTACCATTATATGAACTTTAGGAAAGTAGTTGTTTTATCAGTGAGCGTTCAAGAACAATCTTTTTTTTTTAATATTGAAAGAAAAAATCCCTTTCTTCACAACACTGCAGGTTTATCTGCATTCCTTTGACAAATGTAATAGGAGATTGTACCAAGGGCAGACAAAAACGTGCTTTAAAAAGATGTACAGGAATGCACATTTAAAAAAATGTTTCTGTGGGTGGAATTTCCTCCTCGTAGGGGCGGTCGAGGGGAAGCAGTGACAGTCTAGGGAAATGCTGATCCTTAGACAGGGACAGAGGGTTAAAGTGCATCTAATACTGTTCTGTGTGCACTTCTCTGCCCTGTCTAGTCAGACTCCCATGTTAATTTGGAAATCTGTAGTAATGTATATTTCAGTTTTAATATGTGTTCTCGTTTTAGTACAAGCATGTGTTTCTTGGTGTCCATCAACTTGGAGTTTCACCTGAGCTGACTAATTGTCACTGAACTGCAAAACACAAGATGTTAAACATAAGAATATTTTGATGTTGCCATCGCTTATCCCAACAGAGTACATCATTTAGCATACTAATGAAATTATATAAAAGGATTTATCTCTAATTAAATAAAATCTGCATTAAGTTACTATGGCAACTGGTATGCGTGTTTCAAGGAGTCCTACTTAAAACACTGTAACAGTATTCAAGTTCAAGATACCAAATGGTTCTTCTACTGTATTTCTTATTAAGAGGATGTATTGTATATGTTAGTCCTGCTGTCCGCTTAGGATATCCTACCCTTAGCCAAGGGTAGGATGAGCCTAAAAAAGGAATTGGACAGTTGGTGATATCTTTGCTGATGCCGGCAAACATCAGTGAAGGATGAATCCCAAAGAATTTACATTCTCCAGCAGGACAGCAGAACGCTGTTAACACTGTAAGCATCCCATGGAAACCTTCTTTTGTCTCTGTAGTACAAATCAAGACCCAGCTGCCTGTTATGCCTCTAGGTCTGCAAATCAGGAGCCTCAGCCTCTCACCAGCCTTTGTTGCAACTTTAAGTGCAGATCCCTGAATTAACTGAATCCTTGCACCTGATGTTCGAGTGTAGTGTGACTTTCTGCCTGTGTTGCTTAACAAAAGACCAGAGTGTTAGGTTTCTCCACAACTTGATTCAGGCTATCTGGTAATCTCCTTCTGATGGAAGTTATCTTCATTGACTGTACAGGAGCCACTAGAGCAACTAGGGTCTTCCCACTGGTATCTCAAGCATCTAAAGCTGTGTGGGGTGAACTGAGGCCTACCTGCCTAGACACTTACCTTAAAATTAGTGACATTTTAAGTGAATCACTAGGAGCCAGTCACTTAATTTGTCCTCATCGACATTTCTAGAAGTGATCCTGGAAAGAAGGAATTCATTCTTTAGTACCGTTCAGAGGCTAGAAAGAGAGGAGATTGCAGAACAGCACACAGTGCATGAGCTGATGGGTATCGTATCAAGATTCCAGTGATCTAACAGAAAAATCTGTTACTTTATTAAACAACGGGATATTAAAATTGGGGATTATATAATTGCTTATACTAATGCAGTTATACTGAAGACATTGAGCTTACCTGGAGTGTAGTTTTCGGCTGTGGTGAGGGAGAATTTGCAACGGAGAGAAGTTCATCAATTATTATCTTCTTTTTTGGTAGACCATGCTACTCAGTTAGCATATGAACCAGAACACAAACATTTTGCGTTTGTCTTTCACTTCTGTAGTTCTGTGATGTTCAAGGTACCTGTGCTGCTGTTTCTGTATCTTTCTGTCTGCATTAATAACCAAGATCTTCTGCACCTTGCTTGGAATGGCCATAAACATGATTCTGATTTAAAAAGAAAAAAAAAAATTCTTCTCTGTTTCTTTAAATATTATGAATTCCTGGAAAATTCAAATACATGAATAGTGTTGATATCCTACACTTAACAGTCCATTACAAGATTACACTTTTCTAAGACTGTGGAGGAAAAGGTGGTTCGTGTATATTTATGTTGTAGGGTCGTATAAACAAGTATACCATTCACACAAGCTTTCACACTGTAATTAAAGTCTGTGCACTTCCCTTTACTATTAAGAATTGTACCCTTACTGTTTACCTTAAACTTTTGCTTGAAGTTCCCTGTTGGCTTTTGACCTGGGGCAATAAATCAGGAGATATCTGTTAATCAGCCTGTCAGACAGTCCTTCCTGATCTAACCTTTGCATGTTTTGTTTTTGTCTTCCTCAACATTTTCTGCATTTTTTAATTTCAGATTTGGCAGTGTGGCGGCTCCCTTGAGATTGTGACGTGCTCGCACGTTGGCCATGTGTTTCGTAAGGCAACACCATACACTTTCCCTGGTGGCACAGGACATGTCATCAATAAGAATAACAGAAGACTGGCAGAGGTCTGGATGGATGAGTTTAAAGACTTCTTTTATATAATTTCACCAGGTAATAAATTATTTTCTGATCATAAAGATATGTAAAGCTGTCTGAAAAAAGGAAAGTGTAAATGTAAGGTACACATATGTGAGTGTATGGATGAGTGCGTGCGCATATGCTGTAGATTGAGACATAACAGCAAGCATGCTTCCAAGATTCAAGAGGATGTCTTTCCATGTGTCAAAGCCTTCTATATTATTTTCCCAAGGAAAGCCTTAAGGCTCTCTCTCTTCTGAAGCTCACAAGGATTTTTTTAAGAACCTAATTCTCATCATCTTAGTTTTCAAACAAGTGAGAAAGCTCTTTGCCCCCTATTTAGTCAAAGAAACATAGAATTTGACCAGATGATCCCTTCACTGTTACGCTCCTTGAAGGTCCCTTCAGAAGGCGCTAGTGAGTGGGACAACAGAAATGCTCTAGGTTATGCCCTATGCCCTGCTAATGGTATAAAGAAGATACCTATATATCTATATACACACTAAATATATACAAAATATGAAGTATAAAGTATATAAAATGTAGATATAGCCAAAAGATGAAAGCAAGAAACAAATTAAAAAAAAAAAAAAAGGGAAACTAGTCCCTGTAAATCAACATTAAAACGGCCTTCTGGAAAGGAGCACAGCGAAGTGGACTTTCAAACAAAACAAGTGCATGCGCTCTTGCTCTTCATATTTTGCCAAATCTCTGCTCAAATGTGTGTCAGACAAGTCTAAGGTGACTGATCATGAATGTAACTGTGCTCCCTCTGAAGTCAGTGGGATTTTGCCAAATAATAGGATGCAAAGGGATTTGGGTGGACAGCGAGTGCTGTTAGACAGTGGTCTCGCGGCTCTGCTTCCCGCTGGGCATGGTGGCAGGAAGGGCAGCTCAACTGCAAGCAAGGGAGGTGCAGGCAGATTTGTCTCAGTCCTGAAAGACCCTCTCAAGTGCTGCTTTTCCTCGTATGCTGACAACAAGGCAGAGAAGAACATTTAAGGAAGAACATCTATTCTCTTTCTCAGGGAAAAATAGGTGTTAGCCTCTTGGAGCAGGTCATCAAAAAGGGTTTCTCAGTCCGATTCGAGGGACGAAAACGGGAAAGAAGATGAAATGTTCCAGGCTTCAAGACTGGTAGCAAGAGCCAAACGAGGCAGCTGGATCTGGACATGCTAACCATCGTCTCCTCCCCTTGTTTCTTCCCTGTGGCAGGAGGGTTTCCGCGAGGTAGGGTGGGTTGTCCAGAAGTCACTGACGTTTTCAGATCCTGTTTGTCTTCTGCTCTCCATGTTTCTTCTGAGTCTTCACAGGAAGGAGATGCTCTTATTCTGGAGGAGTAGATCTGCTATTAAAGCTGCTGATGTTTTATTTCTGAAATTAAAAAGCGGTAGCTTCAAGTATAGAGCAAGATCTGACCTCATTTCTGTCTCCCTTTCTGTTTACAGAGGTGTCTCTTAGCATTGACTGAACAGGCATCTGCACAAGCGCCACACCGTAGGGAAATGCCCAATGGAGTTCACCTGAGCTGGTTTCAACACAGTGCAAAAATACACATAACGTCAGGGGAATATAGTCGCGTTCACAGAATCCTCCTAAATACGGAGTTGAACTGTGTATGGGATAGGCAGAATTGTGTTCCTCTAATTGGTAATTATATATACCCAAATAAAGTTGAATGAATAGGATGCTTGACAGAAAAATTTGGCTGACTGTTTGTGATAGAATTGATTTCTATTCTCCTGCAAGAGGAAGGAAAAAAAAGGGAAAAAATAAAATTAATGCTGAGAAATGGATGTCTAATATGATTTACAAGTGAATTTAAAACCAATGTGAGATACGATAGAGATCAAACCATAAATACATGCATGGATCCCATTGCATGGGATTATCTTTTTTTTTAATTCAGTTCTCCTTTATTCAGTTCTCTTTCTCTGCAGCCCCATAATTCTAAGTTCCCACTGCATTTTTGTTGAACTAAATGCATTTCTAATAATTTACCCTGAGAGTATACATTTGCTTATGGATATGAGGCTGCAAATACTAACAATTCATTGAACCCAGGGGATTGCCACTCCACAGGCTTTTATGTTCTGTCTTGACAGCAGGTTTTCTAGGCTGATTAGGGGTTAATCGCTTTGAAAGCATTTAGGTGAGCTGAAGCTCTAAAAATTTCATTCTGAAGACTATTTAAAATAGAATATATTGTAAATGAGTTATTGGTAAAATGCATTAAAATGTAAGTGACAAGAGTAGTGATCTATACAGTAGAATAGTTAAAGAATTCCAGTTTCAAGAAGAGTGTAAGATCAAATTGCAGCTGTGTGGTTTTCTGAAATATGTCAGCATTTCAGTTAAGAAATCCTTCAAAACTTGACATATTTTTATTTTCAAATTCCTAAATGCAACATTTCAAATCCTACAACATTTCAGCTTCTATCTGAATCTTCTTTCATTTTCTTTGCTATCCTCTTGTCTTCCATTGTTTTTCTTTTTGTTTTGGGATCTTCTAAGGGTCCTTTTAACTGCAACAGGAATCCTAGAATAGGCCGTAATTTTTTTTTTTTTATACTTTATTTTCACAGAATTTCTACTTAGATTGTCTGAACTGTAGGAATGAGGAATTTAGTGCTGAGCAACACATAAAAGAAAAAGGACACGTAAAAATATATCAGATTTGTGCCCATCTTTGACAGGCTTGACTGTTTCTCTAGCACACCTCCCAAAGGCTGAGTGATCCCCCTCAATTCCTCTATTGTCCTGGCCAGCTATTTTGGCGATTTGATGTGTCAGACCTCCAATTCAATAAATTAGCTTGGAACTCACCACTTAAAAGAAAATACAACTGATTAAAGTGAATTAGCTTTTTACCATCTTTATAATAGACATCCCTAAGAGATCATAGTGTGCTTCACGATGTGCTCAAGCCCTTTGTGCCACCCTGTGTTGGTCAATGCTGCTGGGAGTGACATTTGCCCTTTTTCAAATGAAGCCAAATGTAAAAAAGATTTAAATATTCATTTTTGATTAAATATTATCTGAAAGATAATGCAGTGCTTGTAAAAAAAAAAAAAAAAAAAAAAAGGTTATGGAAGGAACTTGTGTTGTAGTATCTAGTGGCTTGTAGGGTTTTTTGGAGTTAGTATGGTCTGCTGAGATCCTCACATGATAGGTAACTTCACAGGTGCTTCTTCTTATTTTATTCAGGTAAAGGTAAAATAGCTAAGTGTTGTATTCTGGGAGTAAGAGGATACAAGAAGAGGTATATAAATTGCCTGAAATATGAATTGTAAACTATTTGTAAAAACCAAATGGCTGAATTGTCTCACTTTGAAGGGTTAAAAGTGTTGGGCAGTAAAAAACTGAGATATAAAATATTATTTTCAGAATATTTGGTTGCAAAAGGGCTGCGCTGAATGAAGTCAAGGAACGCCTGTTTCCTTCTGTTGGGACACACACCGCAAGGAGGCCAGGCGAGCTGGGCCTTCTTTATTTCCCTTCTTACAATACATCTGTAGGTTTCAGTATTTTAAATATGATGTAGTTGTGAAAGCCGGTGTGAGGAATAT